GAAGGGAGATCTATATGAGAGCAAGGAGAAATTGATCCATGCGCTTCGCTCGTATGCCATTGCAAAAAATGTCAAGTTTAGGCCAACCAAAAATAATACTACAAGCTATAATGCGGTTTGTTTCTATCGCTAAGATGGCGATGATGAAGATATTGGTGGACACCACGACGGCAATGCGAAATGTCCGTGGAAGCTTAATTCACGCTCCGGTGTAAGAGTAGGCGGGCAATTCAAAATCACGGCATACAACGGACTCCACACTTGTAGCAATCCTCGATTAGAGATGAATAACAAGAATGCATCCTCTTCCTTCATATATCGATTGATTTTACCACATCTGAGGGAGGATCTTGATCTAAGGCCGAAAGATATTCGTCTTCTAGTGCAAAAAACCACCAACTTGGATGTATCATATCACAAGTGTTGGAATGCTAGGAGGAAGGTGATGAAAAAAATATTCGGTGATTGGGATAAATCGTATGAGATCTTACCTCATTATCTTGAAGCACTCAAAAGAGAAAATCCGGGGACTGTCTACGAAGTATCTTCGGACCCCGTTGATGGCGGAGAACGGCAGTTCACCGGTGTATTTTGGGCATTTGGGCCCTGTATTGAGGGGTTTCGATATTGTTGTCCTCTTCTTAGCATTGATGACACCCACTTATACGGCAAGTACAAAGGCGTTTTGCTTGTTGCCACCGGAGTTGATGCGGATGATGGTTTGTTTCCTTTGGCGTTTGCAGTGGTTGATATTGAAAACACAGAGAATTGGGCGTGGTTTTTTGCATGGATTAGGTATCATATCCCTAGTGTGGGGGCGCGGCCGATTACATTCATATCTGATAGGATGAAAGGAATTCCAAAAGCACTCCAACATCATTTCCCGTCACCACATGCACATTGTTATTACTTGCGACATATTAGGGACAACTTCAAGAAGAAATTTGGAAACGGTCAGGTTCAAGATCTTCTTTGGCAAGCCGGCTGTACAACAGAAAAAATAGTTTATGACCAAATACGAGAGAGGATTAAGTTTATCTCCCGAGCTACACATGATTGGATTGAAACTAGTTTGGGACCACACAATGTTGATGAGTGGGCTTTATGTGAATATGGCGGGAGACGGTTCTGTATGATGACTATGAACGCTTCAGAGAGTTTCAATGGTGTGCTCAGGGGAGCACGCAGTATGCCAATACAATCACTAGTTGCTAAAACATTCTACAGACTTAATAACTTCTTTCTACGACATCGCGAACTTGGTGAAAATATCCGCTCGGAGCTCACACCGAAAAATGATGAAATGTTAGCAGCTCGGATTGTGCAAGCTCGGTCCTTTCATGTCGTAAGATACAGTTTTAATGAATGAGAGGTCATTGAGGGAATATCACATAAAGAAAATCGCTCTTACAAAGTTAACATGTTAGTGGATCACTCGTGTACGTGCACTTGCAACGTACCGCAATTACAATGGATTCCTTGTTCACATGTTGTCGCGGCTTGTTCTGATCTACAAGGTGGTGCGAGGATTTCACATTATGAGTTCGTCGAGGCTTGGTATTCTACTTACAACTATCGACAAACATACAAAGAGTGTTTTCATCCACCATATGATAGTTGATATTGGACACAAGACGGGCCACTGATATTACCTCCTTTGTGTAAAAGGTCGGCGGGGCGCCCTCGTTTTGTACGAATTATAAATTGTATGGATGACGGTCGTGAAGGAGTTAGGAGGAGAAATAAGTGTAGTAGATGCGATCAACCGGGCCATAACAAAAATAATTGTCCAGTTAGGATTAGGCGTTGATGTTGTAATTTGTAGTGGTTTCGATCTGTGTTTTCTTCCGTATGTCATTTGTGATTGTAATTTGTAGCGGTTTCGTGAGTTGTTTGTTTCTGTATCTCATTTGTGATTGTAATTTGTATCGTTTCGTACTATGTTATATAAATTTAATGTTTGGTTTCGAGTTATTGCTTTCTTCACGTTGCGCATTCGTTTGTTGTTTATATATAACTAGATGAGTATTTTAACAAAAAGATCTAACACATTGTACATTGTCTTCTAATATAATTCTCAGTTATATTCATTATGGATCCGGGACCGATATGCCCTGACGTTTTGACCCTCCAGGTGAGCCACGTTTCAGATTATATTGGCTCAGGACAGGTAAAACATCTTTTGTATATGCTAGTTAGCATTGGCACTAATTTTAATTTTTCGCATTATACTTAATCAATTCTTTTTGACGCGCAGCTCGTACCAGACATCACGATGATCGAGCATTCCCAGAGTCATTTATCTTGGGTCATTAAGGATGGGAGAGTTCTAGCGCTGATCTATCAGGCCGGTTTTCGGTAGTGTTCGACGGTTCGATATATCAGGCTTGATTGGCCGCTTATCACTGCATTGATTAAGAGGTGGAGGCCAGAGACCAACACCTTTCACATGCATATAGGGGAGTGCACCATCACTTTACAAGACGTGGCCGTCATACTTGGGCTCCGAATCGATGGGCCGGCAGTTACGGGCACCGATGATCATAGTTGGCCGGAGGTATGTGCCCGGCTTCTTTGACAGGTTTCGGACTTGAGGAGTGGTGCGATAAAGCTATCGTGGCTTCGTCAGACATTTCAGGGTGACATACCAGAGGATGCCAGTATGGAGACGCTTTAGTTCCATGCTCGTGCTTACATATTGCACATGATAGGGTGCGTGCTTTTTCCTGATGCGAGCAAGACTCTTGTACATGCACGATGGCTGTCGTTGCTAGAGGATTTTGACGTATGTGGCGCACTGTCGTGGGGCAGTGAGGTGTTGGCATACTTGTATCGAGAACTGAGTAGAGTATCCCTGATGCAGAATAAAGAATTCAAGAGATGCTGCACATTGATACAGATTTGGTCATGGGAGCGCATTCATATTGGACGCCCTACTTTACTTGTGCACCGTGACCTACAGGGGCAATTTCCTTTGGCGTACAGGTATAATTGTACACACAAATTTTATTCGCACTGAATTTGTACTTATATATTCTCTACTCTGCATATAGGTATAACGTGCGGTACGCTAAGTACCGATCAGCGACGTGCCATCGTGAGTTTTACCAAAATGAGCTTGATGGCCTCCAACACAAACAAGTAAATATAAATCTCAAGTCGTTATGAATATTATAGTTTTGTTGTTGATACTGATAAATGTTTTATTTTATGTTGTTGATACTGATAAATGTTTTATTTTATTTCAGTTCAAGTGGAGACCCTATACACCGCCGGAGCTGGATATGCATTCTCTTGCACCTTTTATTTCAGTTCAAGTGGAGACCCTATACACCGCCGGAGCTGGATATGCATTCTCTTGCACCCATCTGTCGAGATAGTCCCGACTTGTGGAGAGCCAGAGTTCCATTGATTTGTTGAGAGATCGTGGAGATGCATGTCCCTGACCGTGTGCTACGACAGTTTACGCTCTCTCAGCATGTGCTAGATCCTGTCGAGCAGATCTCTCGTCGGCGGCGACCTACTTCGCACCATACCGACTGGGCCGTAGTCCGTGCGGCCTACATAGACAGGTGGGCTCACAGGTGGGATTTCATCCAGGATACGAGACCCACAGCTGTTGACTATACCGCGTATATGGGTTGGTATTGGGGTATCACACGTAGATGGATCACACGTGACCCATAACCCTTAGCTGGACACATGCCACGGTCACCGACAGACAGTTACATCTCTAGTGGGATGAACGAGAGAGATTACGTAAGTTTCTATGCTAAATTATAATATTTTTTCCTTGAGTTGGTACTTAATAAATTATTTACCTCACAGGTCCGTGCTTTTGATAACATTAAGACTGATATTGATGCGACCGTGCCTGAGATTCAGGATCAGGTGGCGTTAGGGCTCCTCAGCAGGATCAAGAAGACTATAGCACATGTGTTTCATAAGACTCACGTCGACGAGTTCGCAGGCCGTGAGGACAGGTCTCGATCATTTGGACAAGCGTACACTCGGCGTCGACGACCACGTGACGATGACGGCGGCACTTCGCATGCTGATGGAGTCGGCACTTCACATGCTGATGGAGCCGGCACTTCGCAGCCTCATACATAGCCGGATACTCAGATAGTCGAGGCTCATCAGCGTGGGGGGCGGGGAAGAGCGAGGGGGAGGGGGAAGAGAGGGAGAGGAAGGAGAGGTGCTATATTGGGTTGTATTTGAACTTATTTTGTTAAAATTTGTAACTTGTATGAATTTTCAAATACTATACTTTTATGGATCAATTATAGCTCGATATGTGATCTTTTTGCGTATTGTTTGATTCGTGCGTGTTTAAATAATATATATATATATTGCAGTAATTATTGTCAACAGGTAAATAGTTGTATATATGAGTCAAATAGGTAGACGTATACAAAACATGCACAACAGCCTGTGCATGTTTTGTAAAACCTGCAACTTCACGGGAGTTCAACTCCCGTGAAGTTACAATCTAAACTTCCCAGAAAGCGACTCTCTGGGAAATTTGGCCTCTAACTCCACGGGAGTTCAACTCCCGTGGAGTTTTAAACATTGGAACAAACTCTACGGAAGTTGAACTCCCATGGAGTTTATTGAAGAAAATAATCTTCACGGGAGTTCAACTCCCGTGAAGATTAAAAGGATGGTAAACTTCACGGAAGTTGAACTCATGGGAGTTGAACTCCCGTGAAGTTTCGTAAATTTTTTTAGAAAAACCGATCTGGTTTCAGCGACAGTGCTGAAACCAGGTTGATTTTTCTAAATAAATTGGAAACAGGTCGTTTTTTGCAATTAAAACGTGAAAGTGGTTGGTTTTGAAAATTTGTCCGTCCGAGTCCCGACCAAACCGACACCCAAATCCCCTCTTCCTCTTCTCAAAACCCAGCAGCAATCACACCACAGCACAAGCAAAATCCCCTCCATGGAACCGAAAAAGTCCAAGGAATCAAGAAACAGAAGAC